AGGGTATCTTAACAATGAAATTTACTACATCAAACAATAAAGGTTAACCATTAAAATGCTAGCAACTGACTTATTATCAAGTTTTATACTAGGCCTAGAACATTGCTCATCAATTTTAAAGGATAGTATATTATTTAAAAGTTAATTATGAAAATTACTTAACATTAACTTTGCTATTAAGGTCAATAATGGAGTTAATATCTCTCACCCTTGCCCAGCTGCAGCTGGGTGTCCCTGGGTATATCTTAATTCTCAAGAATGAATCTCTCTGGCAGGCATCCCCGCCGGAGAGGAGAAGGTCAACCAACCTCCTTGGAAAGTGTATGGGAAGTCGACTGATCAAAGATGGAACCAGGCTTTTATAGACTGAAGTGGATTGACTACTGTCATTTAGCTGTTTAGCCATACCTCCAACATCTCTCATTGGAGAATAAAAGGAACACAGTAGGTAAAACCACAAAGGCTGTGTTCATTCTTACTGTATCTCCATTTCAGGCGTAGCTGTGGCTAGGATGGGCTCCATCTTCATCAATACCAGAGAGCAGTTAGTGATATGTATGCCAGCTTGGCCTCTGTTTGTACTTTTCAAGGTTGTTACCAGCTCAGAGTTTCTAGGTCTCCTCCCTTCTCATGGGAATCTTTCCACTTCAGGCCTGAGCCTGAAAAACTGAGAGACAAAAAGCAGTTGAATCATAGAGGGAAACCGAGGCAGGCATATTGAGAGATGGAGCGTCCTGCTACAATGGCCACTCCAAACAGAGGAGGGGACCTCTACAGACATTCTGCTACTGAAGCTTCCAGCTTTGTAAAGTTTGTATGAAAAGCCAAATTATTTCAACGCCATAAAATGGAATGGCTCGAAGTGTGTTTCCATATGTACATCAGGAAAACATAAATTTGATCTTTGGTACTTTAAAATTGTGAATTGGGATCATAGTCTTAAAAATAAAACATTTTTTTTGTGGAAAGTTGTTTCTGTCTCCTTGGTTCCTCTGTCACTTGGATCCCAGGCTTCTGCAGCAGGTGGAACCAGGAGAGCAAGCACCTGAGCTGTTGTTACTGGGTAGCTGGTGAGAGAAGAGGGGAGTGCAAGGTAGACTTCTCAGCACGTTTAATAGTAGACAGTATGAATACAGAAAGCTCTACATGGCAGGAGACAGCAGAGATAAACCAGTAGCTGAAGCTGTTTACATGGAACAGAGCTTTTAAGTTGCTGATAAAACTACAGAGCAAGCGGAAATGCTTCCACTTACGGCAGATGAGCTTATAGCAACATACCTTATGTTGTAAATGATGGTCATGCCTTTTGCTGACTGTTATCTTTGTTGTTATAATTGGAAGACAATTGCATTATTTCTCTCAATGCTGGCATGCTTCATTAAGTATGCAAATTAATTAAAATGATCTCCTCATTCCATTAGCAAAGAAAGAAGTATGCATCAAGCAGAAGCAAGGCTGCAGTGTCTCAGTTCTTTGCATCCTGGAGCCCCTGGCTAGCAGCAGAACAAGGAACATGTCATTTAGTCTCTCTGTTCCATGTCTGTAACATGCAGACAGCTTGTGGTCTGCTTCATAGTAAACATCTGCCTTACCAACTGCAGAGCAGTACTGTGGAACTGTATTAGCTTTAGCCAAGACAGTCTAGCTGTGAACAAGAAGCAAAGCAGATTAGTTTATGCAGAGCTCAAGTTGCTAGACTGCTCAATCTGTCCACAGGATGACTTCTTTATATGAAGTCATAGAATCATTTTCATTGGAAGAACAAGTCCAACCATTGCCAAGTCCACCACTAAACTATGTCCCTAAGCACCACATCTACATGCCATCATCCAGGGATGATGACTTCACCACTGCCCTGGGCACCCTGTTCCAGTGCCTGAAAACCCATTCAGTAAAGACATTTTTCCTAATATCCAAACTAAACCTTCCCTGGCACAACTTAAGGCCATTTTCTCTTGTCCTATTGTTTGTTACTTGGGAGACAAGACCAACATCTTGCAAAGCATCTCTGTGTCAGCAGGATAGGTGTAAAGAATAGCTTTGGTGCAACTTGGACAGCCAGGGATTTTTGAGTGACCCAAATGGGAGCCAGAACAGGTTGGGAAGGAAGATGTAGTAATGTTACATTGGAAAGAAGCTGGGAGTAAGTGACAGATTCCTATTGTGTTAAAAGTTGACCTGAATGTCAGCTAAGATACCGTGATGAGAGGGGAAGAGTTTCTCCTTGTAGTATGTTATCTTCAAAGTGTGGCAAAAGATACTTCAAGTGAAGATGGGCTTATCTTTATCTTAAGCAATTAATTTTCTGTGACTGCTTTGTGCCCTCTTCCCATTTTCTATGTCTAAGTTTCTGTGTAGCAATGTTTTTTTTCCCCTCTTTTACTTTTAGGAAATCACAAGTTCTCCCCAGTGGTTCATACTACTATAAAGCATCATGCAACATAATAGTGCCAGTCACATCTTTCATACAAGAGTGGAAAAAATTAGTTTGGGTGTCAGGCAGGTCCAACTTGCAAAAATAATTCTGGGCAAAAATCTGAGGTCTGCTCCACCTCTGTGGGTTATGCAGCACAGCCATGCATTGCCATTCAGCAAAAGTTATTCAACCTCAAAACCAGTGAGCACACCCTTAACTTTAAGCAACAAGTCAGACTTAAACCGTAAGACTGGAAAACTTTACCCAAAGACTGTGGAATGTTTGGCAGTGGAACAAGCTGTACCGCAATCTCACTATTTATGGGTGGCTGCTTTTCAGCGTTCAAAACATTGTAGTGCTGCAGAGTAAAAATAATGCTGATGGCTCTGCGTATAATTAAAGTTTTAGTAAGTCACTTCATGATCATGCAGCACCACCCGCCTCCCCTGCCATGTAATTTAAGATTTCACTGTGCATTTTTTGCCTTGGAAGCCTGTGAAAGTTAAGTTCATGTTAAAAACCACTGCATTTTCAGAAGACTTCATTTTTCTGAAGCATTAAATGTGAGAGAAATCTCATTTTTTATGTAAAGGCAGTGCTGCCTTACTTGCACGAGCCATCTTCTGTAGATGCTACGTGAACACTGTCATGTCTGTTGTGACCACACAATATGAACCCACTAATAACAAATAGATGCAGAGCTCAGTGCTGGAGCTACAGATATGTACTAAAGCAGTTGTGATTAGACATGAGCATATAATGCTTTGGGACATGCTGGATATTTTTCATGTACGTGGGGAAACCAGAAAGCTAATCCTATACACAGCCAGCCTTCTGCAGACTTTGGAGTTGGAACAAATCCTGTGGAGACAAGAATTGCAAGCACCAGCTCTTACATGTCAAATTACTGTGTATTTTTGTCCATGTCAAGACGAAATGGACCAGGAGGAGACAGAACTTGCTTTGGATATATTTCCAATATGGAAGGGGAAAATAAAAATGTGCTGGCAGAAGCTAAAGCATTTTTAATAGCAGGCCACGAAGAAAAATTCATGAGCTACTCTCCATGGCAACAGCTAGGTCCTGTGATGTTTACTG